TAGGTTAACTTTGAGATCCATTAGCGTAAATGATTATTCAAATGATTTTTTGTCTACTAAGATTGACAAGAGATGAAGTAAAAAGAGTAAGGGATCACTATTAAGGTTAAACAATGTTAAGAAGCTCGGAGTTAATAGATTAGCTTATTTCCAAACTTAGCGAGATGCTTGGATGATATTTTCTCCTTTTATTTTCACTTGTTTTTCCTTTTTTTCTCTCTAAGCTCTTTATTTTTGGTTTAATCTCTCTCTCTTTTCTCTCTTTGTCTCACTTTTTCTCTCTTAAAAAACCTAGTCATCCTTTAAAATGCTACCCCTCTTTCTCTTTCTTTCCTCTTGGTTTTCATCTTACTCTAGCTTCATTCTCTATCATTTGATCTTCCTCTCTCAATTTCATCCCTTCTCTTTTGATGAGTAGACACTCCTTTCTGTTCCCTTCTTTTCTTTCATTTGCATGCTCTTTTGTATATTGTCCTTATAAGATTACGAATGGAGGTAATCAAGGAATGCTAAGGAAAAATTTTGTTATCTTGAGTTTCTATTTTGGGTGTTGGAGAGATAAGGTTGATGTATGAGATGTTGATGCAAATAAAGATACCAACAAAGTTTATGCATGGGATGTGAATTGACCCACACAATTTTTAAATTATTCATAATTAAAACACTTGATAAAAATCTAAAATTAATTTAACTTTTTTTCTTGTTCTATTTCTTTTGTGTGTGTGTTTTCATCTTCTCTTTTTCAATTTTTTGTTTGTATCTATTTTTATCTTTTTCTTCTCTTTGTTTTTGTTTCATTTTCATTTTTTTGTGATAGAATGATAAATTAAAACACAATTTAAAGCTAATGATAAAACAAAAAAAAAAAAAAATTATGGACACCTAAATGATATGATTAAAGATAGAAACAAAAGATAAAATAAATTACTAAAATAATTACCGAAGTCCAAAATTGGGTTATGTCAATTATTATTATTATATCAATCATTTTGACCTCATCCAAATTTTATCATTGTTTTAATCTTTTTGCGCCCGGCCAATTGGTGACCATAATTTTGGTCACAAATTCCCAATAAATAAATAAATTTGTGACCGAATCCAGTCACAAATGCACTTTGTTAAGTGTTTTTTTTTTTTTTTGTGACCGAAAATTTTCAGTCACAAATTTGTTGAAAAACGCATTGTGACAGATTTTTACTTGTTTTTAACCGAGACTTTGGTGACAAAAATGACAGGTTTTTTTTATAGTGAATCCTCCTTCTCGAGGGTTTGAATTTAAAGAAATGAACTTTTACAAAAGAAAGCTAGAGTAACTTCTCATCCTTATTGTGGTGATTAAATCAATCGCTATCATAGTAACGTAACTCTCGAGCCATATAGAATTACAAAGATAATAACAAAAGTGTGGAGTTCATGGATATACCTTACAACTCCTGTTAGAAATTTATCAAGGGTGGTGTAGAGACTGTTTCACATGCGAATGACTAGAGACATCCAGCAGTAATCTTGACCCCTCGAGCCAAGATAAGATTCCATCGTTCAAGAACCTTTGTGTTAATCGATAATATGATGTTATAAGATAATTTATCTAATATGTGTTTGGCTAGTGCAATCTCCATCGAAACAACAACTGAAGTTAAAAGATCAGCCAGGCAGGACACCGACAACGTCCCCATACGTGGCCTGATCTATATGGGTTTATAAGCTTCCCAGAGCCATACGTACGTTCATGGAATGGAACAGGACAAGATTAGTCTATTTTGGTCTAGACGATTTGTGGTGTATATTTTGTGCATCGAGAGAGCTGCTTGGCTTTTAATGGCAAGAATAAAATCAGTTTTCATGGACTAGCAATAAGTTTTTCTCAAATATATATATATATATATATATATATATATATATATATATATAAGTCATTCACATCCAACTATGTACTGCAATTTTTATGAAATACTCTCCCTGTTTTAAAAATATTATCCTTTTTTTCTATTTATATTTATCTAGAAATACTTGTTAAATTAAAATTTTTAACATTATATTTTTAAAATTATTTTTATTTTGTAATGCAGAATTAAATTGAATAAATTTTTTTTCTTAAACAATTTTTTTTTAGGAAAGTATTGTTAAAAAATACTGATATGACTTTATACTTAATAAATTTCTATATAAACCATGTAAGAAGTCAAAAGAAATTATAATTTTGAAACAGAGGAAATAATATTTTTCTTGAGATCTGTCAAAAAAAAAAAAAATCAAATTATGGATGATAATATATGGAACACTGACGTTTATCAATTAGATTAAGCTTCCAAAAATATCTGCGTGCAAAGACAACGCATTTACAATCAATGCTCCATAACGTACGATAATTTCAATTCTCATGGTCCACCACTCTAATTTCGTGGCTCATATGTAGTTTGTAACTTTCACAATGATATGGAATTTCAAACCACACGTTATATTCTTATAATTTTTCTCCTAGCAGTATATTTCTTTGTTCCTATTTTTTCGATCTCACAAAAAATTGGAAACCGAGAGATTTTAAAGTAAAGTTTGATGGCTGGACCCTTCTAGACAACAAATTAACAACATATTCAATTATGGATGTCACTATCCGGCATCAAACCAGATTATTGAAAAAAAATTTATTAATTATTTAAAGATGTATTTCTGAATTATTCATTTTTTTTAGGATATAAGTTATTATTAAATTTGGGAGTTGTCACCTAGTATTATAAGGATTCTTAAATTTGGGAGTTGCCACATAGTATTATAGGAATTAAGAATCTAAAAATAATACTGATTCAAAAATATTATAGTAAAGAGTTGGTTACGCTTTTAAGAAGATATCAATCTTCCAAAAACATCATTTCCTTTGAACTCTAATTTTCTAAGCCAAATTAAGTTTTTGAATTTTTTATTGTGGCATCGTATTGAATCAATTATCGGACTCCTTCGTCGAAAAACACATCGGCTCAAATATCAAATCTGCTGTAAGTATCGAAACAATAATGTGTCGGATAATATCTTGATTATTAAAATTATGATTTTTTTTCTAACAATGGAGACTTTGTTAAGAATTTTAATTTATTATTATTTTTTATTATTATTATTTTGCTAACAATAGTCCCTATCAAATAAGAGACTTTGTTAAGAATTTTGATTTTATTTTATTTTTTTGTTAACGGCAATTCCTATGAGATAAAAGACTTCATTAAGAATTTTAATTTTAATTAATTTTTTACTAATAACGAGTTCCTATCGGATATGAGACTTTGTTAAGAATTTGGATTTTTTTTTTAATGACAGTTCCTATCAAATAAGATACTTCGTTAAGAATTTTAATTAATTAATTTTTTGCTAACAACGATTCCTACCGAATGAAGACTTTGTTTAGAATTTTGATTTTTTTTTCACTAATGACGAGTTCTTATCGGATAGAAGATTTCGTTAAGAATTTAATTTTAATTAATTTTTTTGCTAACAACAGTCTCTATCGGATATGAGACTTTGTTAAGAATTTTTATTTTTTTTGGTTAATGGTAGTCCATATCAAATAGGAGATTTCATTAAAAATTTTAATTTTAATGATTTTTTTATCCAAAATTCCTTTTTCCCTTTTTTTTATTTATTGTTTTTGGCATTGTTATTTCTATTTATTATTTTTATATTTATTGTTTGTTGATAAAGAATCATCATATTTCTTAAAAATTATGAGCCTCGACAATTCATTCATCAATGGATTACCTAGCCTAATTACTTACAATAAATTCTAAAGATTAAAGTTAAATAAATAAATTCCAAAGCATCTAAATATTAAATCTAAATTAATGTAGGAAATAAAAAAAATAAATAAGTAAAAATTATTCAGATTCAAAGTATCTAAAAAATGAAATCAAAGCATTAAAAAAACTTTCATTGGGTCCTTTGGGCCAAGCCCATTAGGCTAGGCCCATTGAGCTAGCCCTCATTTCTTTCTCCTATCTTTCCTTTCTTTTTTTCCTTAACCGGACTAATTCCAGTTATATATATATATATATATATATATATATATATATATATATATATATATATATATATATATATATATATATATTTTATTTATTTATTTATTTTTTTTTTTTGAGGGGCTGGACTAGTTCCAGCTTGTCTTACTATCCCCTTTTTCGGGTCGGTCTGGGCTGGACTGAAACCAGCCCAGCCTTTGCACAGCATGGGTTCCAGGAAGCCCAACCCAACCCTTTTTTTGAGCTTACTGGACTGGACTTAAAGTCCATAAAGACAATCCATTTTTTGTTCCTTTTAATTTTCGATCAAACAACAATTTGCCCCCCTCTCGTTCTTGTTCTTTCTCTTTCACAATATATCCTATTACATCCTTCCTACTGCATTCAACCATAACGGCTTAACTATCATCCCAAAACCCCTTTTCAGAATCTAAGAATTATCATTCATGCCTCCATACCAAAGAATCATGAAAACATCCATTTATGGTTTTAGGATCTTCATGCAGTGACAGTGACAAAGTAACAGATCTTCACCACTGCATACATTTTGGATAGTTAGTGATGTAGGATGATTTTTTTTTTCTTACAGAATTTTATTTGAAGAATTCATGCATATTTAGCCTTCTTAACATGTGCAGTTAAGGGATAATTTATAAAAATGCTTAAAAAGGATTCCATTTTTATTTGCATGGGAAAAAACAGAGATAGATGAGAGAATTTAATAACCCAGATTTATAAGTAAAATCACACATAAGATGACCTTAGACATTGACGACTCAAATCCCTTATGAATGCATCATAAGGTTGACGTAAAGATAAAGACTGAAATCTACAAATACGCAAATATATTTGGTGAGCATGTACATAAACACGCTTATAGTACGTGGAGAAGAAGAAGGTTTCCTCCATCAAATTTCAGTCTCTCTTCTTCTTTTAACAACACCATACCTGAACTTATTATAGTCTTGAGATACATAGTAGAGAATATGATGATCATGTCTGTCCTTGGGTCAGGTAAGCATTCATATCCTTGGTGAAATCGACTAAATAGTCCAGGAATGCTGTTGGTGCTGGAATGTTTTCGTTCTCTTTTTCATATATCAGTTTCCAATGGACTACGCCGCCCTCACCTTTTGGAGCAGCTTGATGGATGAATTTGAAACTCTTGTAAGCCTCCATCAAATGTCCTTCGATCACTTTGAAGGTGGTAGATAGTTTGGTGTTATCTATGTCTTCAATCACCTCCTTGGTAATCTTAGGGGCTCCCTCTGGTCACAATTAATAAACATGAAAATAAGTTATGAATTAATATAATGTTTAATCTTTTCAAGAAGATAGAAAATCTCTAATAGAATGCCTTAGCGATCAAGAATCAGAATTTCCGGTGGATGTCGTCTCAAGTTCAAACTCAATCTGGAAGGAAAGGGTTGGAGACTTAAGAGTTTGTCCTATACCCATTGAAACCGCCCATTAAAGCAAAAAAAAAAAAAAAGTGTGTGCAATCTCTCAACTATAACAAGATTAAAGAACCAGTTTTTGAGTACCGCTGCAAACTCACCGAATGTATAATTCCAACAGATAGTAGAGCCAGATTTGCCCCATTCACCTTTAAGGAGATGAACCGCTTGTAACTTAGCAGGACTCATGCAAGATAACTGGGGTAAAGAACTGCTGCTGAGAAGATCATGAAGTTTTTCAGCAGGAATGTTAGTTTCTACAGCAACCTCCATCCTACCATAGAGAGACATTTTCTGCAGAAAATGAGAAAAATGTAAACCAAAAATGAAATTAGAAAGAAATGTATTGGAAGAATGTTGAGGAAAATAATTGAGACTCTAGACTTTATATCGAAGAGCTACGAGTTTGCATGTATTTTTTTTTACCATCCATACTTATTGGTTAGTATTTTAAGGATGGGAATATAGAATGAAGTTATATAACTGCTTTATTGAGTTTATTCCTTGTCTAGAGCTCTTTAGACAATTATATCCCTCGTTATGGAAACTTTTCATGTCTAATTAAAAATTCACAACGCAAGCCCGTTAGCGTCTTATGTTTTTAGTCTCAAAGAGTATCGCTGCTTATTTTAGTTAATATTTTTAATATAAATAAAGAGTATAATTAATTATATAGATCGAAGATTAATATTTTTTCTAATATTATTTTATATTTTAATCCTTTATTTTGATAAAATTTATAAAATCCAGAAAAGACTATTAGTGAGAGGTATGAGTGGCATAGGAAATAATAATTTTTATTAATGAAATATAAGATAAAGAGTCATTTGAACTCTCTAAGTATTAGAGAGTCAAAAACACTCGTATGTCAATTTTAAAGATAAAGATTATGATAAAGAGAGCATTAGTAGATGAAATTTGAGTCAAACTTCTTTATTATGAAGAAAAATCTTAATATAAAGAAAGCATTAGAAATATTCTAAAAGCTAGTGTTATTGTAGTATCTGTATCTCTTTTCAATTGAGAGGGAGTGATTCTTTTTCAAAAATAACACTTTCCGACACCCACTAAAAAGTGTCTCCACAAAAACAACCATGGGTTAAAAAATTGGATCTCTGCTTGAAAATCTTAAGCTCCAACGTTGAAAATTAGAAGGCATTTATTTAAATTAATGGTTAGGATTTTATGAAAATTGAAAAGAGCTAAATCATATAAATATTCGAACTCCATTAAACCTCTCCATTGAATCAACAAGCAAACAAAACCGCAACATTCAAAAGTAAGCAGAAATTTGCGCACCCCTCCACTGGTTTAAACAGACATGCATGTCTAAAACAAGTCAACAAAAATCTTCTATGACAATAAATTTCACTACAAGAAATCTGTCAATTAACAATGAAATGTCAACCGTCTCTATTTTACGACGGATTTATGATAGAATAGCGATAAATTTATTTTAATATGGAATTGCAATAGTATTATGACAGAATATTTGCGTTATATATATTTCTTTCTCTAAACTGCAATGTGTTGACACTTGCAACAGAATATAAATTATGTCGCTAATTACCAATTTTGATTAAATTGCAAAACTTATAGAAAATAAAACGACATTTTACATTTGTCTTAGCGATGGAAAAGTAATTCCCTTGCTAATTACAGGCAAATTGGCGACGAAATTAAGTTTTCGTCGCTAATTTGTAATTTTACCCTATTTATGAAACGATTAAAAAATAAAATGACTAATTTATCTTAATATTAGCGACGGATACGTAAATTCATCGTAATATAACCACAGATTAGCAATAGAATTTAATTGATCGTGGCTAACTTATAATTTTTGTCCATTTCTGAAAATACAATATAGATGGACTCATAAATTTTTTGTTTGCCTTAGAAAATCGTTTTTGATGGCTAACTGACTTCTCTTTGATTATATTATAATCTTATTAAGAGATATATGAGAAGATATACGTGGAGCAAGATATTTGTGGAGCCGTGACTCCTAAAAACTTTTTTTTTATTTGAAAAAATCTCCCTCTTATAAAAAAATCTCAAATTCAAATCTCATTCTCAAAGGAAAAAAACCAACTTTAGAATTGCCCTCGATCGTCACATATGAACATGCGTTCATATGATATACTTTAAAACGAATCAAGAATCTAAAATCAACACACTCATCAAATAAATTTTTTAATATCTATCAAGCATCTTATCAAGTCTTTTTTTCTTTCTTTCTTTTTTTGGTGAACAATATCATTAAACTTTGAGGAATGGATCTCCTAATTTGCAAAATGAAAATTATAGTCAAGATACCCCAAAAGTGGTGCATTATCTTTGAGAATGGGAGAATAATATTGGTGAAGGGCTGAAGGCAAGAGCCCAAGTTGCAAAGTGATATTGTTAGCATGGAATAGAGTACAGAATGTGAGGTCTAATCGAAAGCAAATTAGCCATGGGAGAGAGTCTCTTGCGCAAGGCATGCACATGGTGTCCTGTGGTTGCTATACACCCATGCCCTAATGGCTACAGTTCTTTTGGCTCTCAATTATAACCAGTGAACATGCAAATGGATCCACTCGAATCATAGGCTTAAACTTTTCAATAATCCCAAGTACAATTAACGACACTAGTCGATAAAAAGCCACCATTCCAAACAAGATGCCAAAATCCATCCACTTGGAGTAGCCCATTTCCGCTTGCCATAGATTTCTCAAAATTTCTTCACCACTAATGAAAGAAGGTCCTCCTCCTTGAAGTACTTGGCCATTAGGAAATGTAAGTCCTTCAAACTCATTTTTGAAGAGTCCTTGATATGCATTGGAAGGCAATATAGTATAATGGATATCTCCAAAAGACAAACGGAGGATCATTGGGCAACCGGAAGAAACCCCACTTAGTTGCTAACAACGAACGCAGCCGATCTATAATGGCCGTTTAATCTTTCCCGTTGAAAGACCTAGCTTAAAATAGAAGTAATTACTTGTTAAATTCTATAGGAAAAACTTCCAAGGATGGATAAAACATTTGATGTGTTTTAATGAACTAACCTTCATATCTTCCACAAATGAAGGAAACCCCCAATAGCCATAATTGTCAAGAAGGAAGCAATGAACATAAGCAATGAGCCTCTAGCCTATGAAGCATAACAATCATGTCTTTACTTTTCACAAGCAATAATTTCTCACACCAATTAAGAAGAAACAATGGCACAACACTTGCCTGTATTGAGCTGTAACCAGAGCCAATGTCGTAGAAAACGGAGCCTAAGCCAGAAGATAACGCAATATAAATGGCCAGACGCAGCCAGTAGTAGCCTAGATCACGATACATGTTCACAAAAGACCTTGTGAGAACAAGGCACTGGGATATGAAGTTAATTAGCTTGGCTGCCTTTCTTTTAGTTCTTCTATATATGACCAAGTTAGTATGCCACAAAATGACCTTTTATACCAAATGTGAAGAATTAATTCTTTAAACTAATTTTAAATTCACAAATGACTTAAAATAACAATAAACTCGAAAGTAGATCAGAAATATTTCGACAAGACAGTATTTTTAGGAAAATAATTTAGGAATTGAACAAGTCAGGTAATAATTCTTAAAAAAAATGATGTTTTTATATGATTTTTATTTTCTAAAAAACATAATCAATTTTTTATCCGTAAACTCGACAAAATCAGTGATTTAAGTTTTTTGATCTTAAAATAATAGGTGATGACTCATCATCATCTTTTAACTTTTTTTAATTTGCAGGTCTCATATGTCAATACAAACATGATTAATGTGCAAAATGTGACGGTCGAATTTCTAACACGAACAATAGAAAGTGTAAATGCTTTTTATACTCAATTCCCAACGTTCCAAAAGAGTATCAAATTCTCAAAAACAAGAAACAAACAAATCAGATTTGTAAGGAAAAAAAAAACGATCATCATTAACAGTCAATTCAAGCCAGAGAAATTGACAACTTGCTCAATCAAAAATAAAACAAAGTAAAATTGTTTTCTATCATTTCGAAACCCCCATCACCAAGGATGCTAAAAGGGCATTTAATAATCATAAAAACAAATCAAATTTGTGAAAAAGGGAGAACACATTTTCATTAACAATCAACACAAGCCAGAAAATTAATAACTTGCTCAAGAAAAAGAAAATGTAAAATAATTACTAGCATTTCGATTCTAAATTGTCCAGGCAAACAAACAGAAAAACCAAAAAGACAAATGCTAAAAACTTACAGTTTCTGATCATCATCGATCTCAAGCTTCTTTTGGCACCCAGTTGTTGGATTTGCAATGTTAAACTGCAAAGGACATAAAGATTTTGATTCAAATTCGACTCGATTTAATATAATTAAGTAGATTTGATAAATAGTTTTTTAAATTTGAGTTTGATTATAATTTAAATCTGTTAATTTGTTTATTAAATGAATCAAATCTGTATCTATTTTAATTCAATCGATAATAATTCGATTCAAAATTAAAAAAAATATTTTTATAATAAATATAATATTTAAAAAAATTAAAATTTTAAAGATATATATATATATATATATATATATATATATATATATATATATATGAAATTATGTTGAAAGCTATAATTTATTTATTATAAAATTCAAATAACATATATTCTTTCATAATGACAATTGTATTTTCAAAAAATCACACAAACTTATTATTATTTTCTTAGTTAAATTTCGTGATAAATTGACTTATATATCTTTTCAAGAATTGGTGTTAGTATATTTGTCATCACTTTATTTTTATTATAAAAAAACCATAAAAAAAAAGAGAAAGAAAAAGAGGATAAAATAAAACTAGAAGAAAAAACCAATTGATTGCATCAGAGCAAAATTGAAGAAAATAAAAAAGAGGAATAATAAAAAGAAAAGAAAAGAAAATCAAGGCAATTTTGAGAAAATTAGTGCAATTGGAGTTCTTTTCCTAAATAAATTCAAAAAAAAAAAATCCTAATTCGAATAGACTCGAATATTTTGGATATAACTTAATGTAAAAAGGTCAATTCATGCAATTCTTGTGGCAAATAAAAGCTAAAAAATAAGACTGTAATTTATATGTTTTAAACTTGACATATATCAATTCACATCCTATAAAATATTCAATGTAGTAGATAGAGTTATTAATAATTACCATGTATTAATTAAAACAGAAAAACCTATGGTATTTTATTTGCTTAAATCTTTACATTTTTACTCTTTATGCATTAATCAATTACTAAAAATATATGATAATATTAATAGATTTTTTTTTCTTTCTTTTTTT